ACACTTCTGTGAGTGGGAAATATGTCTAGATTATGTGTGTGCAATATAAAATCATAGCCACAAGCACAGATGTCCATGAAAAGATAAACTGTTGAATTAAGCATGATCAGTGGTGGAATTGCCTGTTTAATATTCATTGGCTACTCATTCCTTCATTTTGTTGCTTGCTAGCTAATAAGCACGAACATCTGTCAAAGATTTAGGAAAGATTTATGGTTAAAAAGTTTTTTTAAAAGAGAAGATTCTACCCATTAACTTTTTTTTTCATTTGCTCTATGAGCATCTCATTTGTGGCAGGCACAATTCCAGACACTGAGTGGTCATTGTCGTTAGACAGCGCAGCCTGAGCACCCCGACTCTAGAGCAAGAAGCCCAAGCAATTTGCTGTCACTAACATGGCTCTTCGAGACCTGGTCCAGTCTCATCTTGCAGTCTCTATAGCCATTGTCTTCTCGTCCCACCCCGTCTGCCTGAGATCTGGCATTTCTTAAAGGCTCTCTTCCTCTTTTTATTTATTGATTTTTCTTTGCAGTACTGAGAATCAAACCTAGGACCTCCAGCATGTTAACACTGAACTATGCCCACAACCTGGACTCCTTCCTTCCTTTCTTCTTCCGTTCTTCCCTTCCTTCCTTCCTTTCTTTTTATATTAGTGTGTGTGTGTGTGTGTGTGTGTGTGTGTGTGTGTGTGTGTGTGTGTGTGTGCAGAGGCACTTGTGTCATGGCACACCTGTGGAGGTCAGAGGACAACTCTCAGGAGTCAGTTCTCTCTTATGACCTCATGGAATCCAGGAATCAAACTCAGGTCGTTAATGCCTCTAACTGCCAACCCCTCCATCTGACTTCCTTATTTATAACATTCTTCTTTAAAAGCTGTGTGTGTGTGTGTGTGTGTGTGTGTGTGTGTGTGTGTAGTCTCTACATGCCATGGTGTGCATGCGGAGGTCACAGGACAAAATGCAGCATTTGGTTTCCTCCTTCTACTGTGTGGATCCTAGGACTGAACTCAGGACTCCAGGAGCCTTCCTTTATCCACTGAGCCATCTTTGCAGGCTCTCTTATTTATACTCAAGTTATGATCTGAGATAGGGTATCCTGTAACCCAGGCTGGCCTTGAACTCATTATGTAGCTGATGATGATCTTGAACTTCTGATCCTACTGCCTCCGCCTTCCAAGTGTTGGGATTTACACAGGCCACCATGCCTGTGTTTTGCAGGGCTGAGGACTAGACCCCAGGGCTTTGTGCACGCTAAGCAAACACTCTACCAACTGAACTACATTCCCAGCCCCAGACTGCATTCCTTATAACTTACCAGGTTACACTGAGGCTGGTGCAGAAAGACCACATTTTTAGAACCAGTGGCCTAAATTAAAACCAGGAGCAGCAGGTGTTAATGCACAAAGGAATCCTCAGTTCATCCTGACAGCTTCTCTCTCTCTCTCTCTCTCTCTCTCTCTCTCTCTCTCTCTCTCTCTCTCTCTCTCCTCTCCTTTCTCTCT